CGAGGGACTCAAGCTGAGCCGCCATGCCTGCGGCCAAATCGTAGACGCCAACGGGCGTGAAGAGGGCTCCGGCATCAGCGGTCTCGGTAGCGTTCCAGTGAGGGTCAATGACCATGCTCGGGGACTGGTCGACAAAGACGAATTTGGAGACGCGTTTGTGGGAGTCGGGGAACTGGTCCCACAAGGCCCACGAGACAGAGCATCCCATTGAGTGGCCGATGATGGTCACGTTTTGGAGGTCGAGGTGCGTCAGGAGGTCGTTCAGGTCGGCGGCGAGACGGCTGATGCGGTATCCGAAATCGGGCCCTTCGGAATCACCGTGGCCACGCTGGTCAAATGTGGTGACGCGGAAGCCGGCCGAGGAAAAGTATTCCGCTTGCTTGCGCCATTCTGCGGCGGCTTGGCGCCAGCCGGTGATGAAGAGGAGCGGCTGACCACGAGGAGGGCCAGTTTGGTTGTATTGGAGACTGACGCCATCGCCTGTCTTGAACGAGGCTGGGGAGTGAAGTTTTGAAGCCATTGCAAATGTGCTGAGGAATGGTGTCGTGAGACGTCGTGAGACAGGTGAGGAGCAAGAGGGGTCGCATTGTTTCCGGAAGGGACGCGCCTAGGGTAAGCACCAATGCTGTTTTAGTAATCAACAAGTGCTGCCCCAGTGAGTAATCACGTTTCAGGTTGGGAGTTGGCGGGAACCATGCTGAGTAAACAAGCTCCTTGAAAAGAGGAAGGATCGCCTGCCGCCGTGTTGTTGCCGTTTTGCCGCTGTCGACCTAGCTACCTTATCGTCTCCACTTGCCGTCGTTGCGGTGGAAGTGGATCTGCAGCACAAGTGCAACGCAACACCCGAGCGGAGACCGCACGGTGGACAACAGAAGTCCAACCAAAGGTACGATGAATAAACAGTGACTGCCGGGTTGTAAATAGGAATCGGGGTCTGTAATGCCTGGTGTAGGTGTGTTAATCGGGGTGAAGAGATTCAGGGCGAAGTTTTTGTTTAACAACATTCCTCTTGTCAAATGCGTAGTTGGAGATCGGGGTCAGTCATGTCTAAAACACGAAAGAAAGAGCGCAAGCTAGTAAAAACCTGGCTTTGCAGTCTGCAACCTGCGAGAAAATCGTCATGCGGGCAGCTGTCACAAATCCTTTTTGTCTACCCCATGCAAACAAATACAAAGAAACTTGGAAGTAAACTGCCAAGCGCTGTGCTTGAACCGTTCTAAGCTAGCTCTAATGCAAGTCTCGCTTCCGTCATTGAAGCTATTGAAGGTCGAGAAACACTAGCAGATATCGCACGGCAGCTATGAGATACTGAAAACGTGGGGGATTGCTATTATACCAACGTTATTGTAACAGGAGGAGCCTCCCACCCCGCGAGAAAGTCCCACCGGGGTGTATACCCTTCAATGGAGTGATTCCAAGGGTCCCGATATCTGCCCCTGATTCCGGGAGTCCCGCCGTTTTCTTCGGTCAAGCGTTTGGAATCACCCCGGAGAAGCCCCACCCTCTCATACAGCTCATTTCTCTTGTCCTTGCAGCGCAAAACGAGTGACAAGGAGTAGATACCATTCTTTAGCACCCTCAGGCAATATATATCAGACTGGCCTGTCAGATCGCTGTCACCCACCTGGTCAGGGTAGTAGGAGGCAGTCCACTCATCATCCGCCACATATGGCTTCACCCCCGCCACGTCTCCTACTAATAAGCTGGGCACAAGCACTCCTCTCAACCTGAGCGCGTATGCCGAGCTTCCTGGAAGTTGGCTCACAAAAATATCCGAATCTTCCAAAGGTTCGTACCGTGACAGTATTAGATGGGACCAGTGCACTGGGCTGGTGACGGACGCCCAGGTCCAGGTGGGAAATGTTTGCTGGTCCGGGGTGGAAGCCTCTATCTGTTGAGTTGTAGTGCCCGGCTTGGCTGTCGGTGACAGCGTGACGATCCACACAAGGTCGAAAGCCAATGAGTCGCTCCACAAACCGGCGAGGTAGTCGCAGTCCCGTAGCGGTCGCATATACTGAGCGATGCCGTCCAGAGCTACCAATTCGTCCGAAGGAACGGATAGAGAGGCGAGTGAGTAGTTTTCGACAATCCTATACCATCGCTGCATCAGCTGCCACTTGGATGGTAAGTTCTCTCCCACAACGGTTCTGGGCAATTTATCGAATTCTGTTTGACCAAAGCCGATGCGATGCTCTCCACATTGGCAGCTCGAGCGTTCGACGCATCGCCACACCAATTCGCCTTCCCCAAAGAGAAGCGTCCTTGGGGAAAGGAGATATTCTTGGTGCACCCACCCACGTTTCATCAGCGGAAAACGTTTAGGATGATGCTGAATATTTTCGCGAGCGAAGATGTGGTAGTGACGGCCAGCGGCCCTGCCTTTCATCTCAAGCGTCTTGGGCTGGAAGAAGAGGCCACCTGTACACGCTGTAGATGACAGGGCCGCAAGGGTGAGGTGCGAATTCATGTAGACCTCACACATCCGACCGGATTCTTGCAACCAATCCCGGAGGGAAAGCTCTTTGTCTTCGCTGGAGTCGTTTTCGGGGTCAGATTGGATGATGCATAGCGAGTCTATCCATAGATACCGGATGTTGATCTTCCTGGTGAATTCAACCGCCTCCCGAAACGTTTTGGGAAGGGCGTCAAGAGATATCTTGTTCTTGTATGTCTCTTGAGTGTGGGCCGTGAGTTTTGTGCTTAACAGCTTTGGATCTCCCCAGCAGTGGCTGAGCGCAATGTATCGTCCCCGCAACCCGCGTGTTTCCAAGACTTTGATGGAATCGCCCGCGTTCGGGTGTGAGCCCAGGTCGAGGACTCGGCTCGGAAGCACGGGATGATCAACATCAAGGCCGGCGTTGCATTGTGAATGCTTCTCCAAGCATTGTTGCAGTTGGGCAGTAGCCCAACGATGGCTCTCCTCGGATGCAGTGTCCTCTGGCAAGTGTCGTCGTGTTTCGAACCACGGCCAACGGCTGTCTTCATCAGGGTCAGCCTTTTACGGTAAGCAACGCAGTCAACAATATGGGGACGCTGTAAGGTAGCGCTCAAGGGAAGTTGTCTCGCACCATTGTCCTGATAAAGCTCAAGCCTAACCTCTGCGCGTCCCGGTGGCGACACAATCAGTTCCGGGTATGCCGTGCTCTTGTAATCAATTGATGTTCCCCATAACTGGAAGGAAACCAGGGTCTCTGCAGGATTTCCGACCGGGCAGAGCTCCTGAACCACCTTCTCGAGAACTTGACATGTCTCGCAGCCATCAGTTGCCGACCGAAACAACTCGGCGCACGGCGCGATGGGGTAAGCATGCGCTTCCTTGGCGTACCAATTAAGTCCAAAGCAAAGCTTGCAGTGACCGCCGATATAATTTCGGGCCATGGTTGATGCGGTCGCCATGAATGAATTGATGAGCTGATTTCGAGAGGGCATAAGAGGTCAGCCCAAGTCTCGGGTGGTTGCTGCCTAAGGTAAACTAGACCTAACAGCTGGCACGTGACGCCGCCAGGATCATTGCGCGGCTGCGCCTGCCTTGCTGTCTCAATATTGTGGCGTTGTGCCTGAGCCATTCCTTGGCATTAGCACAGCTCTTCCTCTTAATTGACGAAAGAAAGGGCAGACCACGAGTGCTTGTGAGATCATACGTTGTGCTGTGGGGCGAGGTTGGGATTTTGCAATACCGGAGCACACCGTGCTAACGTGGACGAGGAGACGCATCAATAAAGCCTCCGAGTCTGGCTTTCATGTCCTGCCGATCGCTTCTAACCGAAATCCGGATGCGTGCGACATTCCGTGCCCCCCACATTCGACCCATGACCATGGATCCGGCACCGAAGGACAAAGGAATTCTGGATTGTTCAACACCCAGACTGCGTCATGCCGCGCTTCCCAACTCCCACAAAACCATCTTGCCTTTCTCTGCCATGGAGTCGACAATCAAAACCATGGACTCAGGCTTGTTGCCAAACGGCGCCACATGCCAGTCGGACGCGATAGAAATCGTGACTGACACCCCCGGCACCTCTCTCCGCCCCATCCCCAGCATCACCGAAGAAAGCTTTTACTCCGGTCGCCAATACCACCACTACCGCCCGGGGCGCTACCTCCTCCCCAACGACACGGCCGAGCAAGAGCGCGAAGAAGTCAAACACCTCATGCTCCTGCAGCTCACCGACGGCGCCCACTTTCTCGCCCCCATCGCCCCTTCCAACCTTCGAAAAGTAATCGACCTTGGCACCGGCACCGGCACCTGGGCCATGGAAGTCGGCGAACGCTTCCCCTCCGCCGAAGTCACCGGCACCGACCTCAGCCCCATCCAGCCCGACTAGACCCCCACCAACGTCCAATTCTTCGTCGACGATATTAAAGACCAATAAGTCAGCGGCGATGGCTTTAACCTTATCCACACGCGGCACGTCCTACCGTTCATCAAGGACCCCGCGGCACTCACCCGTGGCGCGATCGAGCACCTCGCCCCCGGCGGGTGGCTTGAATTCCAGGATCTCGGGTATCTCGTGCTGTGCGACGACGACAGTATGACGCCAGAGTATCCTATCAAGCAGTTCTTTGATAAGATTACCGCGGCGTGGGGGACTTTTGGGGCGGATTTGCGCGTGGGGCCGAAGTTGGAGGGGATGATGCGCGCAGCGGGGTTTGTCAATGTCGAGACGAAGAGGTTCAAGTTGCCGATAGGGGTGTGGTCGCAGGATGCGAGGGAGAAGGAGTTGGGTGTGTCTTTTCAGATGGTGATTAAGGGGGCGCTGGAGGCGTTGTGTGGGGCTATTGCGACGGTTGAGGGGTGGAGTAAGGGGGAGAGGGTCGAGTTTACGGAGAGGTGTGATAGGGCGATTTAAGGGAGGGAAGTGTATGCGTATATGTATTGTTATTTCGTGTTAGGGCAAAGGCCAGAGGGATAAATATGTGAGGATGTTGTAATGTCACTAGGAGGGTTCTGGACTGGGGCGGCGTCTACAAGGGGAATGAGGGGCTGTTGTGGACATCAAGGTCTGCTGGCTTAATGGCAGAGCGTCTGATTACGACTTTAAGAAGTTATCAGGAGGTTCCAGGTTCGACCCCTAGGTAGATCGAAGCAGCTTAAGATTAACAGGATAATATACCCACAATCTTCTCTTTTTACCACCAAACTCATCCACATCCTTACTTATCACTTACCAAACCCAGCTCAGGGGTACTCCCCCTACACACCACCCGGCACCTTCCCGCTAGCCACAATCCCAACCCAAAGCAAATCCCACCCCTCCCCCCCATACCTCTCCTCCAAATACGCCTTCACTAACCCTTCCACTTCCTCCCTCGGATGCTCCCTCCTTAACTCCTCACTCCAACAGCTGCTCATCACAAAATCCACAATCATCCCGAAATTCCTCACAAAATACTCTGCGCTATCCACCCTCTGCACAAACGCACACGGCTCAACCTTTACGCTCTCTAGCCCTTTCGCCTGCAACGTCTTCCGAATCCAATTCACATCGTACCACTCTCCCCATGCCGTGGTCTGCGCGGGCGCCTTGAAGGGTGCCTCGAAGGGAAACGACTCGAATGCGCGTTGCACGTCGGGAGCCCAGCCGAGGGGTTGGGTCCAGGTGGTGAAGGCTAGCGTCCCACCGGGGGAGAGAATGCGGATGGATTCGTCGAGGGCGGCGGAGGAGTCGGGGATGACGTGGAAGCCGATGTTCATGGTTGTGTGGGTGAAGGCGGAAGAGGGGAGGTTGGTTTTCTTTGGGCTTGGATTAGCTCCGCTTGCAGTGATGGGAAAAAGGGGACGGGGCTTACCTGTGCGTCGATGGTGGTTGCTTCGGTGCTGACCCATTTTTCGTCTTTGATGCGCTTCTGGACTAGTCCGATTACGGGCTGGGAAAAGTCGCCGCACAGGATGCTGCTTTGTTGAAGGACGTTGGGGTTGATGCGGCGTTGGAGCTCGGAGGCGACGACGCCGGCTCCGCACCCGTTGTCGAAGAGCTTGAAAGGGGTGGTTGTGTTCTCGTTGAGGCCGATTTGTTTGAACATTTGGGTGACGAGCGGGACGCTGACGCGCTGGGCGTTGTCGAGGAGGACTTGTTCCCAGGTGTCGCCGATTGCGCTTGAGAGGTTCTGGAAGAACTTGCTGAGTGCTTTTGCGCCCGTTTCGGAAGTCATGGTTGTTGTGAAAAGTAGGATTGTCCGATGTATGAGATTTTGGGTTGTGATGAAGACGGAATGACAATTTGTTCTGAAAATACGGTTAATCTATTGGTATTTATACCCTGTTTGGCTGTACCAATACTCCCTGAAATGTTTCCGAGAAGTCGCCGATGAGGGGCCCCTTTTTGGACTTGGGCCAACGAAAGTCAACATGGATCCTGCGCAGCCTAAACAAGCTCAAAGGGGCACCAGATGTTAGTCTCCGACAAGTCTCCGGGGACCAATCACGCTATTTTCGATGCATGCACATCCGTCATATTTCTGGTTCATAGGACACGCTGGATTTCATGGTAGCTAGGAGAACAAAATGTTGCGAAGTCTCGATATTCAATGCGTATACATCCTTGCCACCCAAGTCCTCCACGATATGCAGCCGCCCAATGCAGCCGAACTCCGGGCTGCAAACCCCATTCTATCCAGATCTATGCTTTTCCAATCCAAACATGCTATGTAAAACTCCTTCCAATGCATTTCCCTCCACACAGTCCCTCAACAACTCAATCACTGAGCGCGAAACTTGATATACGGAATATGATGATTCGGCCAAGGCAGCGTCTCCGGACCATACGGGCACGGAAAAAACTCGGGGTAGCCAAACGACCCCTTGAAGCCAGCGACATTGTACGGCATGCGAGCCTGGCGCACGCATGGGAGGTCCATGGACACGGTACTCCAGCGCTGGTAGCTGGCGACACCAGACTCAATGGCGAATTTCCCTTCCTTGACAGGGAAAGCGTCGAGGGCGCCCTCGAGTTTGCGGATGGAGTCCATGACGTTGCGGAATGGCGCTTGCACGTCTTCGCGAAGTAGGTCTTGGATCTCGGCGACGGCGGCGCGGGTGTTGGATGTTGAGTTGCGGGCGGCGGTGTTGTCGGCGAGGACGGCGTCAACCGAGGACATGGCGTCGCGTCCATCGTCGCCGCTGTAGAATGAAACGAACCCCACAGTAGGGGAGATGGCCTTCTGCAGGTTGCGAACCAGGTCCGGGAGCTCGGTGGCGGCCTTGATTGTTTTTAGGATGTCTTCGATGTTGCGCAGGTCGCCCTTGGCGGCCATCTCAAACAGTTGGCTCATGTTGGGAGGGGCTTGGGCAACTTTGACGGCGTTGCGGGTGAGATTGACAAGCTTGGGGGCGGTCTCGGCGATGGTCATTGTCGCGTTGCGCACGTCCTGGAATTTCTGCACCGCTGAGATGGCCTTGGAGACATTATCGAGGAATGGGGTTGTGGTCTTGTCCTCGCGCAGCCCCTTTTTCTCTTGGATCGAGTCGATTCGGTTCGAGACCCCGTTGAGAAGGCCGACAAAATGGGCTGCCGCATCGCCAACGTTGCGCACCTTGGTCTCAATATCGGTGAAAGTGTCGATCCAGCCCTTGAACGTCGCCACCAGGCCGTTGGACATCAGGTCTCTGGATTTGGCGAGGTATTTGGTGAAGAAGTTGTCAACCCGGGTTGGCTCGCAGCCCGAGTCCCCCGCAGCGCAGGGAGCCACAGCCGCTGTTAGCTCGCTGTAGCTGATCAGGTCAATTTCGGCGGCTTGGAAGACGGTCCACCCGCCCGCAGGCGACAAATCACCCTTCGTCACAAGCAATGCTTTGTTGTCCTGGACGTGGAAGCCATTGTCGACCATGCACTTTTGCAGCTGCATGCTGTCGCCGATGACGCTCGAAACAGCCGCCGAAATCTCCTTGCCCTCGGCAACCGACCTCCACACCTTTTTGCCGTACATTTCCAGCGCCTTCGGCAGGCAGTGGCACATGGCCCCTACCTTGGTGATTGCCTGCTTCCCTCCATCGCCGAGAGCCGATCGTGCTGCGTTGCAGACGTTGACCTTTTGGGTCGGGACCTTGACGCCGCAGGGGACATCGAGAGTCGTCTGCCCTGTGCATCAGTATCACTCGCAGCTGGAAAAGATAAAAAAAAGGAGTGCAACTTACCCTAAACCACGTTTCACGACACATTTTTACCGAGGGTCTGCCGCTTGGGAGTTTGACCGTCTTGGAGCAATTCAACATATCTTGAATGCTGCCACAGATCTCTCCAATGTTGTTTTTGTTTTCGGCAACCACGGTTTGCGCGAGCCCAAGAAGGGCGGGCGCGAGTGTAACACAACGAAGATGCATTTTTGGCGCTCGAAGAGGAATAGGATGCAACGGGGAACGAGAAACGGGATCTAGTGGGAAATGAAAAGCGGAAGCATGAGGGAATATGAGCATGCGTTTCTTTTCTGGGAGCAGAGCCTCAAAAACTGTTTTGACTCAGTTGGTCCAGGGCAGGTCATGTCCTCTCAACTGTCGGACGCCTTCGAGTCGGGCTGAGCAGTTTCTGAGCGAAAAAGCGCCTCAAACGGTCAAGAGTCAAATAAACAGCCAATCCAAGGCGACAGTTTTCCAGACTTGACCCGCGGGCTAGTCAGGAGCCCACACCAAGATGGCGGCAGTTAGGACCGGATCCAACCGTTGTGATTTAGTGGCCTACCCACTGCGAAACCGTCCGAACTAACCTGATAAAACGCTCTCGTTGAACCAGTTGGCTGGAAATTTCTTCGGATGACGACCTGAAGCTAATTAGTCAGTACATCGAAAAGATACATCCTACTGAACAGACCGTTCCAAGGAACAGTTCCGAGGCCACTTGCTAGAACAAATAAGCACGCCCCGAGAAGAAATGAAGCTACTGGTTAATGATGAGTTTGTAGACTCGCGAAAATATCAGATGATGGTAATTGTCTTGGTTCCGCTTCCGCTGCCTTCCTTCCAACGCTCCCGTGTCCCAGAACCGCAAGCCAAGCCAACACGCCTGTAAAACTGATGGTCTATATTGTAGCCGTCAACTGGGTGCAAAAGGAGATAGACCATCATGTCTCGTGTTGTTTCGCCAACATAAGGATATGCGAATGAGCGTGAAGTTAGTACAAACCTGGATCTGGCATACGCGGTCGGCAAGCCCGCTATAGGTCAACCCAAGTGCAGGTGGCTTTTCTCTGGTCACACAGCTAAGGCTTTTCCATCACGCTAATGGTAAATAGAAATCTTGCCAGCAAGCACACTGAGGCCTCCCGGAATTCACTTGATACCCAGGGCAGACAGAGGAGAAGGGTTTGTCCGCCAATTCGCGGGAGCCTGGTGCTCGAAACCAAGGCGTCGAATCATGGTCAAAAAGATAATTTGAGAAGATGCACCATAAAGGGGTGGCGCGATGGAAGTTCGCTGACGGCAGTACCATCAGGCACGGTCCTGATTCACGGCGAAACCAGGCCTGAAATTGTTAGCGGGTTGGTGGTCAATTAGACAAGAAGCGGCCTGGATGCGCCAATTTCGAAGAGGAGGTGGTGTGGTGCCTTGACAATTGTTGGGCCGTGGCTGAAGCCTTGGCCCCCGGACAGCGAATCACAAGCGGACGTGCAAAGCCAGTTTTTCACGAGCTGAACCAAGTCGAAGCGCGCTCTGATCAAATCTGGCCGTGTGGCTGAAATATTCATTGACGGCCCAGCACCTGAATAGGGGCAAGGCTCTGGCTTCCCGCCTTGCCATTGGTAGCCGACACGAGTGCATGTTTGTGTTACACTACTTTTCCAGACGAAGGGGGGGGGAGGGGGGGACTGCTGTGGGATAAGAAGGGGAAGAGGCTCCCGCCGATGGCTTGAATCGCGACGTGAAGTATTTCCCTTCTCTTTCCCTTGACAAAAATCATTCCACTATGGCATCACGAATCCCAAAACGATTGGCGCTGGCTGCCATTATGGTAGCCCTTGCCGCGAGGCCCGCGACCGCCTTCACACGATACGAAAACGACGGATCGTGCCAGATCGTCGGCGACACGGACATTTATGGCATCGGTGTGCGCGTGGGCTACTACCTCACCTATTTCGCAGGGGTGCTGGCCCT